AATGAGCGCAGGTGTGTTGATAATAAGTGCAGGTGTGATGATAAAGAGCACAGGTGCGTTAATAACGAGCACAGGTGTGTTGATAACGAGCAGGGTTAATGATAACGTGCACAGGTGTGTTGATAACGTGCACAGGTGTGTTAATAACGAGCACAGGTGTGTTGATAACGAGCACAGGTGTGTTGATAACGAGCACAGGTGTGTTGATAATGAGCGCAGGTGTGTTGATAATAAGTGCAGGTGTGATGATAAAGAGCACAGGTGCGTTAATAACGAGCACAGGTGTGTTGATAACGAGCAGGGTTAATGATAACGTGCACAGGTGTGTTAATAACGAGCACAGGTGTTTTAATAACGAGCAGGTGTATTGATAACGACCAGGTGTGATGACGAGCATAGGTGTGTTAATAACGAGCACAGGTGTAATAACAAGCAGGTGTAATAATGAACAGGCGTGTTAATAACGAGTACAGGTGTGTTAATAACGAGCAGGTGTAATAATGAGCAGGTGTGTTAATAACGAGTACAGGTGTGTTAATAACGAGCACAGGTGTGTTGATAATGAGCAGATGTGTTGATAATGAGCAGGTGTGTTGATAATGAGCAGGTGTGTTGATAACGAGCAGGTGTGATTATGAGAAGGTGTGTTCATAACCAGCACAGGTATGTTAATAACGAACAGGTATGTTGATAACGAGCAGGTATAATAAAGAGCAGGTGTGATAACGAGCAGGTATAATAACGAGCAGGTGTGATAACGAGCAGGTGTGATAACGAGCAGGTATAATAACGAGCAGGTGTGATAACGAGCAGGTGTGATAACAAGCGGGTGTGATAACGAGCGGGTGTGTTGATAACGAGCAGGTGTAATAACGAGCAGGTGTGATAACGAGGTGTGTTGATAACGAGCAGGTGTAATAACGAGCAGGTGTGATGATAACCAGCAGGTGTGATAACGAGCAGGTGTGTTGATAACGAGAAAGTGTAATAACGAGCAGGTGTGTTGATAACGAGCAGGTGTGATAACGAGCAGGTGTGATAACAAGCGGGTGTGATAACGAGCGGGTGTGTTGATAACGAGCAGGTGTAATAACGAGCAGGTGTGATAACGAGGTGTGTTGATAACGAGCAGGTGTAATAACGAGCAGGTGTGTTGATAACCAGCAGGTGTGATAACGAGCAGGTGTGTTGATAACGAGAAAGTGTAATAACGAGCAGGTGTGTTGATAACGAGCAGGTGTGATAACGAGCAGGTGTGTTGATAACGAGCAGGTGTAATAACGAGCAGGTGTGTTGATAACCAGCAGGTGTGATAACGAGCAGGTGTGTTGATAACGAGCAGGTGTGATAATGAGCAGGTGTGATAATGAGCAGGTGTGATAACGAGCACAGGTGTGTTAATAATGAGCAGATGTGTTGATAACGAGCAGGTGTGATAACGAGCAGGTGTGTTGATAACGAGCAGGTGTGATAA